AATCGTGGCAGCCCTAGTGCTGAGTATGGCCTAGAAATCACAAGGTCGAAATAAAATGTGCCCCCTAGGGTGGTTGAGAATGACCAAGCTAAGATCATGTGGGACTTCCAGATAGAGATGGACAAACTGGTGATGGCACTTAGCGCAGTGACCTCCAAACTGGGCAAGTGGTTCCAGCAGATCCCATCGACAACATCTGAGATCTCTGTCCAGAACACTGCAGTCCTGGGAACAGCTAAGATGCTATGCAGGACCCTCAAGCTCCCCGGCCTCTGGTAGAGGACCCAAGCTTGAACAATAAAGACTTCCCACAGCCAAGTTTGTTTTTTGTTTTACATACACACACTAATGCAACACCAATGCACAGGAGTTTGCAGTCTTACCTGGCAGTAAATATGAACCAAGTACACCAGCTCCTTAGATTCATAGCCATTCCGAGTCACTTCGCTTTGTTCGTCGCCAAGGGACAGCTGAAAAACAGAGAGAAGGTCTGAGGCATTCGATGAGCATAACATGGGTTACTTCAAGCAATTGTGGTTCTTTAAATACGATTAAAAAGTATTGGTTTATCTTGCCTTGTTTTATCGCATGCATCTCTGCCTGACATATGTGACAAACGCAGGCTCATGAATGGTTTCAGGAGTAGTTTTGTGGGCTTGGGCCATATCAAAGTGCCATCCACACACAAACTTGTAATAGTAGACCTCGGTCCTCAGTTAATGGAAGTCAGTTCATTTCTTTTTGAGACAAAGTTCTTATTCTAACGTTACATCTTTCTCTATAGAGAACTGCTTTGGCATGATGAACTACAGAAGCACCAGTGACCTGCTGAGCTACACTCAAGGCTCTGCCCCATATATTAGGATGGCCGACCAGCCCCTCCATACTTATTCTAAGCACGTTTTTCAGTGCCCAAGCAAGTAGGTTGAAATGTTGAAATGCTTCACTCTCTTATCAAAAAAACCAGGGATTCATTAATGCTTGGTTACCAGGGTAACCTCAGTTCTCTGAAGACCCAGCTCCACTTGCATGACCAGTCATGGAAGCTCTACTACCACTATGCCTGTTTAATATACACACCAGTCACTTCAAGAACACTCCCTCATTTCTTAAAGAACAAAGGACATTGTTTGCATTGCATGAAAACGCACAGATCTATGTACATCTGTCTGAACGTGACCCAGAGCTGATGGACTTTTTTGTGGTTGAGCATCCACTCCCCGTACAGTGGTTTCCCTCTGGAGAGCAAATCCGCTCTGGTGTTCAACACACCAGGAACGTGAGTCGGCAGGAGGTGCTTGCTGCTCCACATAATCAGGCAGAGAGAAAGCTTGTGTAATGTCACGAAACAAGCGCATCCCTGACAGTTTATATACACCACCACTGTTGCATTCTGTCCTGACCGAGACATGACAATTTTTCAGGAGCAGCAAGAAATAGAGACCATGGTTCCCTTGGGAAACAGAGCAATGTGCAGGAAAATTTTCTTCATACAACCTCTCGATAGAAAACCCTGAAAAGAACCGGGTCATTTCAAGGTCCAGATATTTAATATTCAGAGTGGGAGACGGCACACTCTTGATACAATTGATGATGAAAATCAAGCCAGACAGGCTGCATAATAGTGCCTGGGTGTCTTTCTCCAGTGCCTCTTCACACATACTAGAAAATCTTTCAAATATACAAACACACTGAGACTTGCCGCCTGCCAAGGGTTCAGAGTTGCCTAAACATACTTGGAGAAAACCCCAAGGGTGAGCGCCAGTCTGAAAAAGAGAGTCTGCTATTCTTAGACTATGGCCTAAAAGGCATTCAAAATTATGAATTTGTATTTGCTGAAGTGAGAATTGAGGGAACATAAATCCATTTAGGTATCCATTCATTATCTTTTCCAGTGCATTGCTTCCTGCCCTTCAGCCTACAAGAGAAGAAACGTTGCTGTCCAAAGCCCTTTCAGCTCCCCCTGCACCCAATGAACATGCCGTGCTATTGAAACTGGATGGTTTCATTGCAAACTGTAACCTCTGGCAATGCATGTCATGCTCTATGGTTCAGGACCACTCTAATGATCTTCACAGGAAAGAAAGAGAGTACCTGGTGTGGAACCAGGGGCTATTATAAAAGGGGGAGGGGAATGCCATGTCCTTGAAGTGATTGGTCTGTTTAGAAAGATGTGGTGGTAGTGGAGCTTCTGTTATTGGTTACGCCACAAGGTGCTTCCCATAGTGAGATACTGAGTGTGGTTGCAAAGAGAACCAGAGGTTTCTTTATGGGAATGTAGCTCACTCCTGGATTGCGTCAGCAGTCCTAAAGCTAAGCTCCAGTACTTCTCAGGATCTCAAGCTGGACCCGAGGTACAACATCCATCAGACAAATTCAAACAATTGATGCAAATTAAGATCCTGGAAATAAAAGGATATAATGATAATTAAAGTTATGAGCTCCAAGTGAACAGAGGCAACGGCCAACATGCTGATGGAATATAGTAAGTGCTCGCTAAGAGCAAAGTACTCTATTGGGGTAATATGGTACTATCAGGTAGCCAAATATCTTATAGGAGGTAAATTTGCAAAAATCACATGAAAAGTGTGTAAGAACAGAAACACTAGAAACGGTATTCACCAAATTTATAGCACATGTTGTCATATCATCTGGCACTAGGTCTTGTATGCAGAGACACCTCATAATTGGGGTCTTCCAGTGCACATTGCCACTATGACATAATTTGCGTAGCCATGGTGACAGGTTGCCATCCCACCAGTCTATACTGAGGCAGGGAAGACTGGTTGAACAGATTTAATTGTTCAAAACCGCACGTCTTCGTGTTCAACATACTGTTATTGTCTCTTCTTTGATACTAGCCATTTAATGAAACAGCCTCATGTGGTTTCCCAATCCCTCTTTTATACCAGTGATACAAAGAAAAGTTGAACAGGTGTTTTAATCTTGCATTATATAAGAGCTGGTGCTTTTGAACCTGCTCTATTTCCCATAGGAAAAGCTATCGTGTCAGATAGTTGTGCTAATGTTTGCAATCACTGGCTCCACTGCAGAGATTCAGGAAGTTCAGAACTTAAAACAGCATTTTCAGGGCAGCCCATCCATCTATGAATCATTTGTCTCCACGTCAGAATAAAAATAAATACAGAACATAAAGAATGAATATCTGATATTCATTTTGTTCTGTACTTGCAAAGGTGAATGAATAGCAGGTCAATGCCATTATGTGTCACTTCTATTCTCCCCAAATCTATGCCTGGTCTTTGGTTGCCAGTCTAATGCAGGGAGGTTTGGTTGCTGATTAATTGATAATAATTAGTTGTACTACTGAGAAAACTGAAAAAGTTTGCAGACACTCTTATTTTGAATAAAAAAATGATTACATTTTGTAAAATACAAATAAAAAAAACCAAATTTTTAACTTTTGTGAAACTGTGAAAGAGTAAGTGACCCGCTCATGATTTGCTGCATCAATATGTTAGATCTGCATTTTGTGTTAGCACAAACAAAAGTTCTGCTTTCACAACAGCAGCATAAAAACTGAGATCGAGGGTATTTATGTGCTGTGTGGGTCCACTAAACAGAGCCTGTCGGAACAATGTCATTGTGCCAGTGAGGGGGACGAAAACACATGGAAGTGTTCTGGATCCCATTAAAGCAAGTTTGATTTAATACAGTTGTTGAATCTTGACTGGTCAGCCTCGAAAGAGGGAAACAGAAGACAGGAAACAGCCTAGGTTAGCTGGTTAGCGCCACTTAACTTTCAAAATAAAAGCAAGGGAATTGTTTACAAGTAAAGCATTTAAAAGGATAAAAGCTAATAAAACAAAAACAAATTGAACTGTACTTGGAAGTTAATACCCAAAAACAAAGCGATGCACTTTTGGAACAAGTCCACAGGAGAAAGACGTCCCAAACGTGGATGGGACGTGGAGAAATTTTCAACTGTTTTTAAAAAATCTACTAAAAGTGTTCATGTTAACATCAGCATTTATTGTTTTTCATGATAGTAAAGTAAAAAGCCACCTTCGATTAACCTGTTAACATCAGGGAGTCAGAACTAAACAAAAGAAAAGTATTTCTGTCAATACTTTTGATCTTGGATTGTTAGCATTGATTAGCATGATTCAATATCATGTGAAAATACAACTCAAGTGAAAAACAACAACAACAACAAAAATCTAGAGAGGAGGTAGTGATGGGCACATGCCTGTGTGCCGCAAAAAGAGAGATTGGTATCCAAAGACAAAGAAGGCTGCATGCAACTGTTACAGTAAAATGTTACCAATAGATGTCAGTAGTTAATCCTAGTTACAGTGGCTGCTGTAGGACCAACAGAGCTGTTGGCTGACAACAACGGGAATCAATGAGCTCGTTTACGCAAATTTTCGTATGTTTGAACCTGACTTCAGTTCAGGAGATCAGGCTTGAGGTGAGGAGGAGGAAGAGGATGACAATTTATCCAAAAACTGGCCACGTTCCCCCTTTCCTTTGTGTTTTCTCTGCTTTAGTTAAGGAAAGCCTCCTCAGATGATAAAGCATAGATATGATCCTTTATGTTTTGAGTCAGACAATGCAGAACCTGGCTAATCACCTGGCCTCACAGAAATCATCTGAGGCTGATGCAAGTTTTGGTTTTCCAGGAATTTGATTATCAGGAAATACTTTTTGTTTGCTAAGTAATAAATTGGCAAAGTTATCACGAAATGGGCTGATGGTGTAAAAATGAATGACGTGTCACCGGCTGCTCACACTGCTTAAAAACACACAAACAACACACAAAAAACAACAACAAAAACAACATAAAACCCATCTAAAGTCCAGCTGCTCAGTGGTGACTGGACCAGGGCGAGACGTGGTATTGATCTACTGGCTTTTAAAAAGTATTTTGGTCTGGACTGCACACATGGACCAATCGATAAAACAGGCTGTTATCAACTTAGAACTAGGACACTAGTGTCACCAGTATGACTGTATCGTCTAACCTGACAACGTTTTTAGTGTTTATAAATGATTCATCAATGTCTAGGGATGGGTACCGGTATCCGGTGCCATGATGGGACCGGTTCTGACATAAACGGTAGTAACCAGACCGAAAAGCAGCGCACATTTCGGTGCTTT